CCTTCCAAGTAGCTGGGACTACAGGTGCCCACCACAAGGCCCAGCTATTTTTGTTGTTGTTGCAGTTTGGCTGGGGCCGGGTTTGAACCCGCCACCCTCGGTTTGTGGGGCCCTACTCACTGAGCCATAGGCGCCACCCAGATTTTAGTTATTTTATCATTATTTTTACTTTCTGTTATAGAAAATTTCTACCATAACAGAAGTAGAGAAAATGATGTGATGAATCCTATGAACTCATTACCCAGCATCAATATCTGGTTTCATCTATTTCTTCCCATTCTTCCTTACCCTGCCCCGACTCCTTTGAAGCAAATTCCAGACAGCATATCTTTTCGTAAATATAACAGTGTCTGTCTCTAAAGGGTATAGGACTTTTAGGAAACACATCCACACTAGCATACCTGACGCTGACAGTTACCAGTCATCTGTGACGAGTGGGACATTCTTGGATGGCCTACGGGCATCTGCAGTTCCACCCTGGTCACAGTTCATCCCACCTCTGACTTCACCTTCATAGGAACAAAAGTATCATATCAGAGCTAGTTCCATTTCCAGATATACTCTGTAGCTGGGAATTACAGTCCTAGTATTCATACAGGAAATGCATTTAGCTGGGGAGAAGAAGGGAGAAACAGCTGTGATCATTCTTGAAAGCAGGCCTGTGTGTGGGTGAGCTGTGTACAGGGAGCCTGCCTCTGAAATTAGGGGTGACACGCAGAGTTTAACAGCCACCGAGCTCTCACTGTGACTTTCCTTCCTCTGCAGACTTACCAGTTTGCCTTGAGATTTCTTCTGAGTAGGGATTACTAGAAATTCTTCTCTTGCTGAATGTTGGTCAGAATTTCTGAACCTGTAAACAAATTGTACATATCTTTTTGTGTTTTTCTATGTTAAAGTTGGAGGTAGGAGAATTGCATTTATTGAATTATTTTAGCCTGAAGCTGCCACCATACATATTTTAAGTTCAGCCTAAAGGTTTCTCTAGACCTAGTGAACTGTAGCCTAACAGGATGACGAAACAGACTGCAGCTATTCTTGTGCCACTCACAGAGTTTGAGCAATCACAGGCGCTAACTATTGAAACTGTGTACGGATGAGGCAAACACCAGCTTCTGTACCTCACTCTGTAACCAGCCCAGGTGCTTCTGACCTCACTTCCATTTTCTGTCTGTAAATATATTTCAAACCGTGTGACACTCTAAACTTTTTTGGTTATGGGGACTGATAGCCTGATTTGCAAATTGTTCTTTGCTCAGTGAAACTCTTGTCTAAAGTTTTTCTTCTATCAGGCATAACTGATTTTTTTATTCTACTTTTTAAAAACTAAGTGTCTTAAAATCTTAAGGCAAAAAAATTACTTAAAGATCTGACAGCCATTTCTAAAACATATCCAACATACATGCATTAAATTTAATTAAAGACATTAAAGAATAGATTTTTCCATAGAAAAATAGAAAAAACTCTTCATGACACTTATTAAAGATGGTAAGAATGACTTTCTTCAGAGAGGT